GTGACGGTGACGGTGACGGCCCCATGGAGGGGACACCGGGACCCAGTGTCACCCCCCTGGGGACAGGGGACGCGGTGACACCCGGGACCACCGTCCATGGAGGGGACATCGATGGAGTGGTGACCAATGGTGACGTCTCCATGGAGGAGACACCGGGACCTGGTGTCACCCCCTTGCGGACAAGGGACAGGGTGACACCCGGGACCACCGTCCATGGAGGGGACACCAACGCGGTGATCAACGACGGTGACGTCCCCGCGGACGGGACACCAGGACCCGGTGTCACCACCAGGACAGGCGACACGGTGACACCCGGCCCTGTGGTCTATGGAGGTGACATCAACGCGGTGACCGGTGACGGTGACGTCCCCATGGAGGGGACACCGGGACCCAGTGTCACCCCCTTGGGGACAGGGGACGCGGTGACACCCGGGACCACCGTCCATGGAGGTGACATTGATGGAGTGAACAGTGACGGTGACGTCCCCATGGAGGGGACACCGGGACCCAGTGTCACCCCAGGGCTTGGGGACACTGGGACCCCCGTCCCTGTGGTCTATGGGGGTGACATCAATGTGGTGACTGGTGGTGACATCTCCATGGAGGGGACACCGGGACCTGGTGTCACCCCCAGCACAGGGGACGCGGTGACACCTGTGAACAGCATCTATGGAGGTGACACCAACGTGGCCAATGACGGTGACGTCCCCGTGGAGGGGACACCGGGACCCAGTGTCACCCCAGGGACAGGCGACAGGGTGACACCCATGACCACAGTCCACGGAGGTGACATCAACGCGGTGATCAACGACGGTGACGTCCCCACGGAGGGGACACCGGGACCCAGTGTCACCCCCTTGGGGACAGGGGACGCGGTGACACCCGGGACCACCGTCCATGGAGGGGACATCGATGGAGTGAACAGTGACGGTGACGTCTCCATGGAGGGGACACCGGGACCCAGTGTCACCCCAGGGACAGGGGACACCGGGACCCCCGTCCCTGTGGTCTATGGAGGGGACATCGATGTGGTGACCGGTGGTGACGTCCCCGCGGAGGGGACACTCGGACCTGGTGTCACCCCCTTGGGGACAGGGGACAGGGTGTCACCTGGGACCGCTGTCCATGGAGGTGACATCAATGGACTGACCAATGATGGTGACGTTGGTGATGTCCCCATGGAGGGGACACTGGGAGCTGGTGTCACCATCAGCACAGGGGACCTGGTGACACCCGTGACCACCGTCCATGGAGGGGACATCAACACAGTGACCAACGATGGTGACGTTGGTGATGTCGCCATGGAGAGGACACCGGGAGCTGGTGTCACCCCAGGGACAGGGGACTCGGTGACACCCGGCCCTGTGGTCCATGGAGGGGACATCAACGTGGTGACCGACAGTGACACCCCCACAGAGGGGACACGGGGACCCAGTGCCACCACGTCCTATGGAGGGGACATCAACGCGGTGACCGGTGGTGACATCTCCGCGGAGAGGACACCGGGACCCAGTGTCACCCCCTTGGGGACAAGGGACAGGGTGACACCCGGGACCACCATCCATGGACATGACATCAATGCAGTGGTGACCAATGGTGACGTCCCCATGGAGGGGACACCGGGACCCGGTGTCACCCGCGGAACAGGGGACACCGGGACCCCCGTCCCTGTGGTCTATGGAGGGGACATCAACGCGGTGACCGGTGGTGACGTCTCCATGGAGGGGACACCGGGACCTGGTGTCACCCCCTTGGGGACAAGGGACAGGGTGTCACCCGGGACCACCGTCCATGGAGGGGACATCAACGCGGTGATCAACGATGGTGACGTCCCCATGGAGAGGACACTGGGACCCAGTGTCACCCCAGGGCTTGGGGACACTGGGATCCCTGTTCCTGTGGTCTATGGGGGTGACATCAACGTGGTGACCGGTGGTGACGTCTCCATGGAGGGGACATGGGGACCTGGTGCCACCCCCAGCACAGGCGACAGGGTGACACCCATGACCACAGTCCACGGAGGGGACATCAACACGGTGATCAACGACGGTGACGTCCCCGCGGAGGGGACACCAGGACCCGGTGTCACCACCAGGACAGGCGACACGGTGACACCCGTCCCTGTGGTCTATGGGGGTGACATCAACGCGGTGACCGGTGACGGTGACATCTCCATGGAGAGGACACCGGGACCCAGTGTCACCCCCTTGGGGACAAGGGACAGGGTGTCACCCATGACCACCGTCCATGGAGGGGACACCAACGCGGTGACCGGTGACGGTGACGTCTCCATGGAGGGG